AGGTGTGTTATGTGTGGAAAAAAACACCCTCACTAACTGTGTCTTGTAATTTTCTTCCTGCTTAGCATCGACTTGAATATAAAAGACATAATGGTTGTTTTCCTACCTCTGTGCACTTCAAAATCATCTTTCATTTATTCAATATTGACTTATTTACGTCAACAAAGAATATTACAAATTGAGTTCTGTACATATAAACATGAATGTGTTGCAACAGATTCTAAATTGGCTTTTAGGATGGATTAAAAAGAGATCATTGACTTCTTTAGCAAACATCAAGGATATCTCCCAGGTGCTGGTCGGACTCAGAGGGTAAAATCAATGCACTGACAAGCACGAACCTGATCATGCAAGCTTTTGAAGAAACGGTAGAAAAATCAATTCTGAAATTGACAGGCAATCAGTGAAGGGCAAGAAGTATTGGAATAACAAGATTATCTCTCCTTGAGCGTGTTTGCAGACAGGTAACAGAGTTCTGCAAGAAATTCTTTCTTGCTTAGAAAAGAGGGAAACTCGATGTGGTTTCAAGCCACGAGGTTTTAGGATTGGAGCTGATTAATATATTACCTCATGAATTAAGATTTAAATTTCTGAATTAAATTAGCTCAATAGAAGGTTTCTAACTTTGCAGCAGAATGACTAACATGATATAACAGTCAGATCAAGTTAAAGGGACCCAGGATAGCACCCTGAGGTATCCCAAGAAATTGGTGCGGTGGCTTCTACTTTGGTTAAATGTTTAAATACTGTCAAATGTGAACTCCATGAACCTAGCACATCAGAACTGATGGCAGAAAAATATTCCAGGGATAATATTAAGGCGTGTCGAGGCAGTTTGGAGTGTTTGGAAATAGCAGCAACTCTTATTTTGAAAAGTGTTGAAACAAACTGGTAGCACCCTGTCAATCTATTTTTTTTATTAAAGCAACATTTTACTGTACATGATGCAGCTGCAAGCAAGCACACACTGACATTTACGCCTTCCTTTTTCCATTTCCTTTTTGTTTAAGTCCACATGACATGATGAAGTATAACCTTTTCGGTTATCCCTCTCCTGCAGTAAGTGATTGAAAAAAACATCAAAATCTCTTTGAGTACAGTGAGGGTATTAAATAGACCAGTAAAGATCAGCCTTCTAGTTTCACTGTTAGTTCAACCATTTGGTGGGAAGATTTATTTTTTGTATCATCATAAAAAGATGTCCAGCCTGTATCTGCTCAAGATTTTTATTAACAGACAGTTATTAATATAAATGTATAAAAAGTGCTGAGAAATGATTCACTTGAGAGAACAAACAGGTCTAGATACTGAAACATTAAAGGCCGATGCAGAACCAATTTAATCGAGGACAAAATATGTTTTACCACAATCTTTGGAACAAGGAGGCTAAAAAAAGTTTATCTAGTTATTTTTGCTTTGGGTTTGTATAGACCTTATACAAGGACCTGTTAAGGTTACCGTAGAAACGGCAGAGTCTCATTTTGGCCATTTTAGGAGAGGAGCTGCCATCTGTGAGCTGTAAACTTAAAACAGAAAGTTTGTCACGATGTCCTTGCCTGCCAGCATGATCACATCACACACACACACACACACACACACACACACACACACACACACACACACACACACACACACACACACACAAGCTCATAACCCTATAAGGCATTGCTGTGAAACACTCACACACACACACAATTTAGGATGCATAGAGTAAAATTTGTCGCACTGCAATACTTTTCCTTTAATATGCTACCATAAATCCACGAGTGTGTTGGTGTGTGTGTATTACAAAAATATGCGAAAGTCTGGGAGAGATGATGACACACAAAGACAAAGGACCCAGCTGGATCCACTCAGCAGAAACTGATAGGCAGATATAGGAAGAGAAATGAAACAGGTCTATTTCAGACTCAGACTGAAGCTGGGGTTATCTATCAGGTGTTATCAGGTATCAGAGAAAGAGAGAGAGAGAGAGAGAGAGAGAGAGAGAGAGAGAGAGACAGAGAGAGAGACAGAGCGAGAGAGAGAGAGAGAGAGAGAGAGAGAGAGAGAGAGAAACTGCAACAAGAGTAAACTTTTCCAACTGTTTGGTTCACTTTTGTCTATGGTAAAAAATCCATTTGGTGTTAATTCAAATACCTCTGTAGCTCTTTCATACAACTCTTTGTCATTCTCCCAACCTAATACACTGCATGTTCTTATTCTCTAAACCGACCCACAGGAGTTACGGCTGGGCGATAGAGACCAAAACTCATATCTCAACATTGTTTACGTTTATTCATATTTTTCTATAGAGAAATAATAAAACAAAGTATCATCATGTATTACCTCAGGAGATCCCCCCCCCCCCCCCCACTTGTCTGACAGTCTGACGGATAGTCCTCAGGTGTACCTCAGGTGCAATCCTCCTGAAATGATCTAGATATTTGCATAGGTCTGCATATGCATAAGTGAAACAGCTCTAGACTTAATTGATTGAAATGTCTTTGTGCATCAGATGTTAATTCATGCATTAATGGGAGTCCAGTCTGTGAAGCATTTGTCTGAGCACGATTTACCAACAGATGTTCCACTCAGACCAGAATTGAGTAATTGAGTCGCATGTCCGATGAATAAAGGCTTTTAATATTATCTCTAAGAGTCAGACGGATCACTAATCACTTTGCCCGCTGAATCACGATGAATGATAAACTGTTGCAGAGGAGCAGACTTTTTTAATAAAACCGTTAGACGACCCATGAAGATGAAAATGAACCTTCTTTTTGATGAGATCGTTCATGTTGCAGCAGCTGAGCAGCTCAGAGGAAGGGGAAACCTGCACGCAGAGAGTAGAGCACCTCAGAGATTGACATCTCATTAGAAGAAATGGAGTTCAGCGGTAAATACAGACAAGGTCATCTCAGCGTCACACTATCTAATGCTGTATCAAACACAATAATAGAATTAAAGGCTTTATATGTGATTTTTTGATCCAGCAGATGTCGCCCTTGAGCACCAGCATGAAACCAAAACAACTCACGCTGCATTGTTGTGTTAGCATGCTAATGCTAGCGATCTTTATTATGCTTGTATCTTCGCACTGCATGTAAATTTACCTGAAATGAGCGTGATCTAGAAACACAGTTAAGCAGTGAGTACAGTATGTTATTCTTCTTTTCTCTAGTCCCTCAATTAAACAACTTTTATACACGAGGGGAGGAGTCAGTCGGCCGGACGTTCCGGCGATGTAAACAAAGTGAAGATAGGACTCTGAAAACTCTGAAAACATCACAGACAGTGGGACTCGGGTGTTACACCCATTGTAGACAGTCATGACTCACGAGTTATTTTCAGAGGATGTACTTGATTTCTATTACATTTAAGTGTGAAAAATCAGATATAAAAACCTTTTATTAATCCACCATCCATCCGCGGCATAAAAAAAGGGATGCATCAGTTCAACATCAGTATCCAAAAATATCTGTTGACAGACATTGACACATTGGCAAAAAAAAAAGTTCCTTACACAGATTACAACCATCAGAAGTAACACCGTCGAAGCAGCAGGAACAATCCAGGGTTAAGTGTTTTGCCCAAGGACAAATCGGACATGTTGCTGCAGGACCTGGGGATCGAACCCCCAATCTTTCCAGTTCAGAGACGACGGACTCTACCAGCTGAGCGCAGTCTCTCTCTGTCTGCTCAACATCATTCTTTATATATCAGACACAATGTTCTTTCCACTCACATGGGACGCAAACAAAGCCTTACATAACAGAAACATGGAAACCTGGAGGCCAGTTCTCCATTATTATTTATGGAATAATTAAAATGTGATAAGCCTTGTTCTAATTTAACTTCTGTTTTAACTTTATATCAGACCCATAGGTCCAGATCCTCATATAAGAAATATAAATACAGGACATAAGCAAAGGGATGAAATCACTACAGTTCACAAGTTCTCAGTCATTAAAATACAAAGACACATTTGCACCAGAGTTCTTAGAAACATGAGGAATACCTTGTGTCTGGGCTGAGGAAGAGACATGAAGATTTAACGTTTATCTAAGCATCAAATGTCTCAATGCAGCATGACATGTGGAGACATTAGTAGTAGTGTTGTAGATCCAAATCGGCCTCAAGACAGGTCTCCAGACCACTTTTTAAAAGTCTCCGTATCGTCTCAGAATCCAAAGCATTTCTAATCGGCCTTGTCTTGGTCTCAGACTCTGGATATTAAATCAAGACCACCACTGACGGACTATTTTTTCCACATCATTACTGTGATCAGAAGGACTTCAATTCATTCATAGTTTCATTTTTATCCCCCGCAAACTTCCAGGTGTTATGGTCTAAGTTAGTGACATGCAGTATGGTCTTGGTCATGGTCTTGACTTGGTCTTGATCCCTGAATGTCTTGGTCTTGTCTTGGTCTCCCCCTGTCTTGGTCTTGGTCTTGGTCTTGACACGACTTCGATCCCTAAATGTCTTGGTCTTGTCTTGGTCTTGGAGCACTCCGGTCCTGGGTATGTCTCCGTCTCGGTCAGTGTGGTCTTGTGGTCTACAACACTAATTATTAGTAACAAACATTTGACTTGCACTCGTCCATCTTGTTAATTAGACAAATATTCTAAATGCATCATTATCTTCCACCACAAGTCAGCAGAGTACAGTAAGCTCTAAAGAAGTTCTGTTTTGCATCTGTGCACATTAGAAATCTGCATGCTTCATCTGAACAGGTATTATTCAATAAAGCCTGCTTCTCTTTGTGCAACATAATTATGATTACATTCAATCTTCAGCAGGGCCCACTCTAACTAATCCTGCTTTTTATAACATAACAGCGAGTGACTCACGCTGTTATGTCATTACTTTATTAATGTGACGAGAGCTGGAAGTCTTTCTCGGCTTTCATCCACATGTTGAGTGAGAGGTCACAACGACCAGCATCATGTTGAGTTCGATGTGTCACTTTTCATGCAGCAGGTGTGTGTGTGTGTGTGTGTGTGTGTGAGACCTACTGTTATGCTCTTGTTCCTCCTCCAGATTTCCCAGGACCATTGCAGGAACCCCAAAGGCTGAGGCCAGCACCCACACGCAAATGTTCACCACCTGAGCAAACCATGACATGAGGGTGGATTACCTTTCAGCTCACACAGAAACACAGCAGGTGCATTATATAAAAATATATATGTTATTGTGCCATTTGCGACCTTTGTTTTCCATTATCTGACCAAACCTTATCCTGCATCAACAAAGCCTGGGCTAATGGGTTTACTACAAGCTAGCTAGCAGTTACTGGTTATCACCAGGAGTGAAAGTAGGCTGACACGGTCCAGTACTGCGTACCATTGGAGAGCAGCCGCCTGCCAAAACCACAGACTGTAAATATTAATGTTTGAAGCCTGAGTGACGTCGCCCATCTGTTCCTGCAGGGGGCGCTGGAGGCTCATCAGCAGCAGCCTCCAAGTTGGAAATGCTGTCTCAGCCTAACTTTCAGTCAACCTAACGACAGGCTGAGAGCTGGAGCGGAGGCGGGTTTAAAGCTTCTGCTCAAATCCAAGGCTTAAAAAAATCCTGATATCAAAATGCAAAATTGGCGGCTTTCAATGTTTTTTCATCAAACCTGGTGTCAAATTCATTGATGTTACTTGGCGACATCGACTGTCTTTTTTCATAAAGTCTTTGTATTCACCTGAGATTTATGAGCCAATATGGCTGCTAGTGCTCGACTAAGTTAGCACTGAACTCCCATGACATCGTAAAAAAAAACATATTTTTTTACATGCAAACCGAAACATGTTATTTACAATTTCATCCATGGTATATCCTAATAAAAATCTGTCCCCACTTCCACCCAACCATTAATACACGGCTCATGTGCTTATGGCTGTTTATGGAAGAAGCTACAAAAATAGTTGTATAACGTTCATCTCGAGTTGAGCCCCAGCAAACACTGCATGAAATAACTTCCTACAGAGCCTTAAAAAAACAACTTCATACAACTTTTCAGACATTTGGCTCTACTCCCCGAGACCTGCACACACACACACACACACACTTTGATGTGTGAAAACTGGTGCAGATGCTCTTTGAAGTCGAGTTTCCTCACATTGTTACGCAACAGAAATCTCAGAAGGATCACCGAGATGCGAAATACTGAGCAGAAAACTGTCAAAACCCCCGATGATCACCAACTGTCGTGTTTGTCTTCATTCAGTCGTATTTAGCTCAGTGCTTGAACAGCTACTTAGCTGCTTTTTTTTTTAAAGATGTCATCACAGGACAGACTGGGTTACCCGTCAAAGCTGGTGGAAGGAATTGCCGAAATGGCTTACGACCTTTTTGTTTGATTCTAATGCCTCCATTTACAGCCAGACTTCGTGATCATGCAACACGGTGTAACAGTTTTATTGTCTTGCAAAAGCGACACAAGGCTTCTATTTTTGACGGATGCCGGAGCATGGAGCATTTATTTACCACAGAGCAGATCAAGCCGGACAGGAAGTCAGACACAAACATCTGGTTTATTTTCAGAATAGTTTTGACCGCTGGGAACAATGAACTTATGTGTGTTTGTTGATGTATTTATACGGTTTTATACCACATATATCGTTTTATGTTGCGCTGTCCGAGGGGAACTCCCTGGTCTTGGGACTCCAGCTATCCGGCGGTTCTGCTCCGTGCAGCGGGTTTTGATCATACTCAAATATGAATTTACAAAGCCTGAGTGATGTCAGCCATCTGTTCCTGCAGGGGGCGCTGGAGGCTCATCGGCAGCATGTTGGAAATCCTGTCTCAGTCTAACTTTCAGTTAACCTAACGACAGGCTGAGAGCTGGAGCTGAGGCGGGTTTTAAGCCCCCTGACAAACCTTTACATCGCACCTAACAATGGACAACACGTATCGTTCATAGAATCAAAACAGAGCAGTTTTTAAAAAATGCATCCCCCGTACAGAGTGTGCCAGCGATGACAATAACTAATCAGACCTATTTTTGTTTTGTACCAGGCTGTAAATATGTTAATTTATGCTGAAAAACAGCTTTTTCGGCTCTGGTGTGTATGTGGCTTCGGTGTTCCTGGAGCCAACCTCTAGTGGACACTCGACGAACTGCAGGATTTTACACTTCAGCATTGGCTCATACTTTATTACTCGTCTGCTTTGCTTTGCAGTCATAATGTAAAGACTATAAGTACTCTTTAAACATGGGCTGATAAGGAGATATAAAGACAAACAGACAGCTCGGCGATGTCATCATCACATCTGTGTTTACATTTGAATCTACACTGCCTAACTTTACAAATTGCTTTTGATTGATGAACTTGTGACATAAAGGTGACATCCCAATCTGAAGTCAACATCTTTCACCTGGATCGTTTCAGGGTGGGAAAGAAAGGTGTGATGGGTTTCTGAAAAGGTGGAAAATGTCATTCTGAAATGAAAAAAAAGGCTTTTTACCTTGGCCTTGTGCGGAGTCCTCATGTCCAGAGCTTTGACAGGGTGGCAGACGGCCACGTACCTGTCCATACTCATCACCGTCAGGGTGAAGGTGCTGGTGAACATGTTGTAGTAGTCGATAGACACCACCGCCTTGCACAGAGCGTTCCCAAATGGCCAGAATCCCAGGAACACGTCGGTGCCCTGCGGACAGGCAGCAATGCAAGAGTGAGCAAAAGAGGTACAGCTGCAGGCGGAACACAGAAGGGAAATCTCCTCAGAAGTATGACTTTGGAAAGTAAAAATGTTCAGTAAAGTTGTGAGTTAGAAAGTCAGGGAAGCATGAAACCATGAAGCCATGAAACTGCAATCACCTGACTAAAAACTTGAAACCTTTTAACATTCAGGTGGTTTCAAGAGAGCAAAACTTGTGTTCCACTCACTTCATGTCAGATTTTTTAACACAAAGGGGGAGAAAATCAGGCGAGGTTACGCTAATGTCATCAGGATAGCATCCTTAGAAAAAGAATGTTGCGCACAGTAAACACAATAACACAAAAAAAAATTAGCCGTTAGTGTTATGTCACAGAAACACCGACGTTATTTTCCCCTGCTCAAGTTAAACAACTAGAATATAGCAGCGAGTTGTCGTCTATGTGGAAGGAAAACTTCTCTCACAAGAACGATGCATTGAGCTAAACAATAACAACACGCTTCTAGAGAGCCGGGTGTAGCTAGCGTTAGCTCGGCAGACCAAGGAGGAGACACTCCACTCCAACAGCTAGCTTGATTTAAAACAGTGCCTGCTCCTCGATCTGTTGGCTTATCATGTTGAGTCTGTCGCCTCTAGAGATCTAATCGGTTATTTTCAACGTGCGAGTTGTCGCAGCTCCAAGCTTTCCCAAGTAACTTGTTACTTTAATAAAGCGGTAACTCAATTAGTAACTAAGTAACTTTTAAATTGTAGTTACATACTAACTGTGACTAGTTCATTATTTTCAGTAAAGTGGCCGACACAGCAGGAGACCCCCCCACAAAAATCATTACTTGTTTGATTTGAATGAGGCTACATCTACAACAGGCGTGATCAGTGTATTGTCCTTTATGATCACGTACCAGAGGAATCTCAGTCATGTGGTTAGCTGAAGGATACCAAAATAATTTTTCTTCTCCTTATTGGACTACAACTTATAAGACATATAACTTTCTAACTTTCTGGGAGATGTAGGGTTTCTGTAGTAAATTTTAAAATCAGCATGTGTCAAGACAAATCAGTATTTTGCACATTTTTTATTTTTTCATCAATATTAATTCAATTACCGGTAAACTTTTTCTTGAGTGATGTGAGGTGCATGTGTGAACAGCCAGATGAAGAGGACTTCAGAGGGCAGTCCTCCTGATATTCTCTAGATATTTTCAGGAGTGCATGTACTGTAAGAACACTGCTTTAGTCTGACAGTAAGGTGACATTTCATTTAGCATTAAATCCATTAAAACCTACTTGCTTTAAGGAGCATAAATAAAGACAGATAAATAAATAAATAAAGATAAATAAAGATCCCTCGACTTAAATAGATGGACTGAAGTGTTGCAAACATGCTGTAGCTCCTTTTCTAACTTAAATTAAACTTCCAAAATATAGTTTAAAGTACTGCAAGCTCAAAGGAAATCTCTGTCTGAATGCATCCTTATGGACACTGATTTGCCTTCAGAATAGTCCAGGAAACAAAGTGTTAAAAGTCCAGGGAGGATCTAATAATCTGTTGGACATTTGTATAGGTGGTTTATGAAGTCGTACCTGGAAGGGTAAAGTAGCCAGAAACAAAGAGTCAGCCAGCGCCAGGTTGAAGATGTAGATGTTGGTGGCTGTTTTCATCTTGGTGTATCTGAGGAGAGAAGAAGCACAAGAAAGCAGAAAAGATTAGTCAAATGATGAGACGGAGAGCTCATTTCACTGTAGATCACACACACACACACACACACACACACACACACACACACACACACACACACACACACACACACACACACACTCACACACCTTAACCACCTAAATTAAGCATCGAGATGTACAGTGTGCAGTCTGCATAACAAGCAGAGACCCTCAGTGTGGTGGTACAGGTGCATCGTTTCATTAGGATGCAGAAGGTGTCTACTTGCTCAGGAGGAGATAAGCTGCATGCTTTTGTCCAAAGCACTTTGCAGCAGCACAAGTTGGGCTGTTGTTAACAGTAATGGAGACACTTGGACTCAAACCGCTGAGCCTGGCAGTGTTAACATAACGTTTTCAAAAGGTTTTAAAGCTAATCTTATAGCTTGGATTCGTCTACATGTCTGGAGGTAAACCTCAAGATTTCAGGATAATTTCTCAGTCGTATTATTACTGCAGCCTGTTGTGTTCATGTAGCTGAAAGGGAAGACTTAAAGCTTTCACTTCCTGATCTGAGGTGTTATATATCCAGCATACAATCTGTAAAAAGATGAACAGTCACATATAGAATCATCCAGTCAGAAGCTCAATCAGCTAGCTCGGGAATTGGCAAAAATTTGCAATCTCTTCTTTTGGAGGATTTTGCATCTGAGCCGGTTCAGATTTGTGGAATCTGAAGATGGTTTTTGAACAGTGACAGAGAAACGCTGTGGGTTGAGTTCATATTCCCGGCTAGAAACAGGGATGTCCACGGGGGATTTTGCAGTCTGCAGCACTTTCCGCCCAACTTTTTTTCCTCGGCTCCACTCTGTAGTGGCACAAAGGGGAGAACACGTCAGGGAGGCACCCTCTCCACAACTCCACCAACTTTTTACCTCCTTTTACCTCCTTTTACATCGGCACGTTCCTTCCCCTCCTGGCCTGGTTTATAAAAACTTTGCAGCTTTCTATTTGATGCTGGAGAGACCACTCCTATTGGTTGCTCACAATGGTCACATCATTGAACAACACAAAAAAAACAGACAAAAAAAGCTGAGATTATATGAAACATGTTTGGTTTCATTGCAACACCAAGAGGAGAAAAAGATCTTCAAATAGCTCAGATTGAATTCTATGATGACCGAGATGACAGGATCTGGCGCCAGCTCTCAGAAAACTCTCATGATTTAATTCTGACTTCGGGAATTTGGAATCACTTTAAAAACGTCTCAGGATGGAAGTACAGCATTATTATATTTTATAGACCAATTAAGTCTTTTTCAAAGATGGCATCAGTGGTGGTGACTGTGTCTGCAGAGACTCTGTCCTCTGACTGGATTTTACTGTTCTGGTTTGTTTTGGTTGACTCTGGATGTTTCTGTGCCGGGAGCTGGTGTGTTTCCTTCAGCCAATGATGGCACGCAGGTGAGTTTTGGAGTGGATACAGTTCAGCGATATGACATGTGAAAATATAATCCCAGTGAGGTGAAATACCAAGTGGCTAAAGCTCGTTCCAAAACGAGTTTCAACCTTGCGTTGGCTTTTACCTGCAGACGTGGAGTTGGTCTGCTTCCTGTTGGACAGGAAGTTGCTAAAAACTGGCAGCGGTTATCTTATGCTAGCTTGTGCTAGCTTGCAGTGTAAGTTCAAGCAGTAAACGTACACACTAAAGTCCCGCAGTGGGTAACTCTTCTGGGGGACGATGAGCCCAGGAGGAGGGGCCAATTTCTCCGGACTCCACCTTTAATATCAGTGGAAGTCTTTTCTTTCTGCTTTGTTTCTTATCTCGTCGTCTTTTGTTATCCTGCAGTTTTGTTTCCTGTCAGCTTCAGTTCTCAGTTATTACTTTGTAGTCTGGAGGCAGTATCCAGCTCCGACGGGGTCCAGCTCCTGGTTTTTTGCCTGGAGGCTTCCCTTTTTTTTATTTTTTTATTTCACCTCGCTGCATGGCCCATCTCTCCTTCTTATATTGCTCTTTCATGCTGCGGGTCAAGTTTGCACCAACACTCATGAGGTGATAACAGTGGAAAAGAACAGGTTTCAGCCTCAGCAGCCAAGACTTTCTGTTAATCTTTAACACAAGATTAAAAAACTGAGTAAAAGAAATCAAACTAAAATCTACTGCCGGGTTCAATGAGTCACGAATAAGTCTTTTGTTTAAAGTCTTGTCTGTTGCTTTGACTCTCGCCTCTCTGACTTGAGAACACACTGAAGGCTTTTTCTGCTTCTGCTGCCCTCGATAAAACTTCATAAAAACGCATTGCAGTCAAATATTTTACCTCCCTCTCCCCCCCTCCTTCATTCAGTCATGGCTGCGGGCTCTTTTGCACCCTTCCTTCTTTCTTTCCTGTTTCTTTCTCTGCTGCCTCTTCTCTTCCTCCTTGTGTCCTCATGTCCTCTGTCTTTGCCCCCTTCTCCAACACTCTCTCTCTCTCTCTCTCTCTCCCTCTCTCTCTCTCTCAAGTATTCCCTTGCATCTCCACATCTGTGTCTTTCAGTCTTTTATCCTTTCATCATCCTTCTCATTACCTCTTCCTCTGAATCAGAGTTCTTTTTCTTTTTTCTTATTTTTGTTTTTGCATCTTTCCTCCTCTTCACTCGTTATCCGTCTCTCCACGCCCTCAGCTCTTTTCGGATTCCTCTCATCCTCTTCCTGCCTTTGTCTGCGTTACAGCTGCAGGTTTACGACGCTCAGCCGAACATGTTTTTCAGTGCGTTATTAATATCTCATGCCTATGAATTTTCAATCAAAGATTTGACAGCTGCGAATTGAACGTGGATAAAAATAGTTCTGAAATCGGCAGAATAGGAAGTTAAACGTTGAAATATGAAGTACTCCTCTAACCCACATTAGAAGTTGTTTGTTGTTAACCCACTGGAGTGTTTCCTGAATTAGCGCCCCCTACCATTAGGAGGCATTATGTCATCACTCCATGTGAAGGGTGCTGTTGTTTGAAACTAGATCCAGTAGATATCACACTTTAGCACCAGAGTCTCTCACACCAAAACAAAGCTCTCTCTCATCAGGGCACCGCTTCCCCTCCTCCCCCACTCCTCTCTCAGTACTCCAACTGAGTTCTTCATCGAGTAGAAAAAGAATTATTGAAGCTGCATTCATTTCGGTTATGGATTACAGAAATGTCATTTATAGACAGCTTCAGCTCTAACTCCTCATTTCCAGATTTACTCTGTGCATGCTGCAGTCCATCAGCGACACGGTTTTGCTCAGTCGGACGGAGCGCCCTGCCACACTGCGGGTCCGTTTCTAGAACATGAGCCATGAGCAGCTGTTCATAATGAAGAGACAAACATGCCAACAGCTTGTTGCTTTGTCTGTTGGGGGTCGCTTTGTTGTTCATTTGGTGCCTCTTTTTATTGCGTTTTATTTTGAAATTGACCGGACACTCTTTGTGTTTCCATATCTGACTTCCTGTCCGTGTCGTTCTATTTTGTCCAGCTTGACGCATGCTCTCAGCAGGCCCCATCACAAATAAATGTACGTATCTAAAGGGAGTATACATGAGCCTTCAGCCCTCTTCTTAAGGTTGGACATTTACAAAAATATTTTCGGCTTCAATCTTTCAAAGCATCTCTTCCGTTGATTTTGCCTTCAGAAACTATGACTTCATCTTTCATAACTCATCATCTTGACTCTCTCCTTGGGTCCACTTTTTCTGTTTATCTCCTTCACTCTTTTTGCATTTTTTCTTTGACATCCCTCCATCTCTGCATCCCTCATTACCCTCCCTCCATCTTTCCCTCAGCGTATTACTTTACTTTTAACCGGCCCTCTGGCCCTTTAAATCCCCTCTCCCTCCATTTTTTAAAATGCATTTTTAACCTCTTAAATTAAATTCCTCTGTCCATCTCTAATCCCGTTTTCATCAACTCATCAACCTCTCTCTCTCTTTCCATCTTATTTATCGTCTTTATTCATTCCTCTAGATCCTGCTTCATCCCCTGCTTCATCCCCCTCCTTCTCCTCCTCTCTCTTGCATACTTTCCTTTTTCTCTCTACATACTGAAGACTTGCAGGCAGCAGAGTCTTCAGAGGGAATATTTTATAGCTGTTCAGCTTTCCGCTTTAAACATCGGGAGTTGAGTCTGCCCAGCTGAAGCCTCTAACTCGCCCTCCAGAACATCTCGTCTTCTCTCTCTCTCTCGTTTCTCTTTACGGCCTCTCTCATCTTCTGGCCTTCAGTTTCTGTTACAAACCCCTCCTCTGCTCCTCCCAATGTTCAGCCATGTTCCCAACCATATTGCTTTTTTCTTTCTTTTCCGTCTCCTCCTCCGTCATTCACTGAAAAAACACAAGTGCATCATAATTATGGAGTTCAAGGCATGTGGCTGCGAGGGCAGCAGCGGAGAGCAGGACAAAATGAAGAGGGCGTGACGAGGGAAGAAAGGAAAGTGAGGCGAGAGGAGCTTCAGTGGAATCAGTTTAATTCTATAACAGATAAATCCTCCCACATTACAGAGACATGACAGGACCAGCCAGCAACATTATGTTTCTTCAACAGTAAAGGAACATCATGTTTTCTCTACATGTACAAACAGGAAGACAAAGAACACAGCAGAGTGCGTCATCAGTGCACAAGATAATGAAAGAAAATCACCCAAACAATGAGGAAAAATGGAGCCGTAAAAAAAAAAAAACAGATCAATACCCTGGGTGTGTATCTCTTTGTGGGAGGAAACAGAAGAGGACATTTTTAATGGCTCGTTTAGTAATGTCTGGCTGGATGTGTCCGCTCTGTAATTGATTGCTCGAATAAATATTGTTCCCTCGATTACTGAGCTCTTTAAATCCTTCAAAGGCAGACAAATTGATTCCTGTCATGTTTCTTCTTTCAATAAAAGCAGCTGGAAACTTCTCTCAGACAATTTGATATTTACAACTCAAGATTTAAAAAATTATTTGGAATCGGGACGCAGTGTTTGTTGTTGGTTTAATTCTGTCCATTCTGGCTCAGCAGT